TTCAGATGAGACTTAAAACACGCTACTGTATAGAAGCAGGAATAGTCTGGCCACCAGAGGGCAGCACAGTAGCTTTGGTGTGTCCCTGTGTCCTGCTATCCATTCAAACGGGTCCATCTATTCTTGGTGCTTAACTGATCTTTATCTAGCTTTATGAATTTACAGTAGCAGCCATTCAAAATGGCAATTCCCAATCAAACGCCAGCCGAATGGCAGCCAACTTCCTGCCTCAGAGTGACCCCCTCTTGCATATTTTTTTACTTTGACCCCACCTTTTCACTGAATTACAGGGTCTGACCAAGAGATGACGCTTCTGTTTAGATCTTCATGTCCACAAATAATGACAGAAAGAGTATTTCAGTTAAAAGATCAATGTTTAAAAAAAGGACTAGCCAAGGGCCCATTAAGGAAAATGGGGACACTTTGAATGGCTACTACTGTATGTACCCAATACAGAAATCCTACAAGATTAATGTTTGAAGCATCCGAGGGGGGGGGGGGGTCCTGATGTAAAAATCCCATTTTAGATGTGTCTGTTTTTGTTCTTAGTAACGCAATTACTGTTTTACTTTACCATATTCACAACTTGAGATTTTCTTTCCCAATTTAGTTAGATTTAGTTAGACGAAAGTTTTAGAAGTTCAAATATTGGTGAAGAGCTGACTGGATATCAGGTTTGATTTGATGTAATAATTGAGGATAATCAGAGGTAGCTCATTTTTCCATAAAATATCATAAATAACATAACATAAAATGGTTCTGGGTGAAAATTTTGGGTATGATGGATGTTTCCATCACTTTGGAGTTATTTTGAATGATCAAGGCTCCAGATCACCTGTTTTCCCTGAATGCACCTTCTTGTATAGATCTTCTGTCTCCCCAGAGGGAATTGTGCCAACCATTCAAAAAAAGTCAAAAATGTAAAATAAAAATAAAAAACAACAACAACAACAAAAACTATCCACTGAACTTTGTTTCCAAGTTTAAAGACATTTCCCTTCCCATCCATTAGACCAAAAACAAAGCCTTCTTTTGGCTTAGAAAACATGCAAATTGAACCATGTTTTTCTTTCTCCGCCCTATAAAGCCTCGAACTCAACGCAATTTCTGACATTTTGAAATGAAAAAGCTTCCTGGATGGGAAACAAAACGTCCTTAAACTGTTTTTTTTTCTTTTTTTTTTTACTTTCTTGAAATGACTATTACCTGGATGACTCAGAATCTTCACCAGCAAATTTTGCCAACATGCTTTTGAAGGCTAGGCTGGTTGAAGGCCTCAGGCAGCAGGAATTGGACCTAAGATCATTTTCTTGCAACATCAGTAATGGTTACATTCGGCTCCAATTTGTGAGAAAAATCCTTCATCGTCTCAAAGCAGGGACGCTCATTTGTATCAGCAGCAAGTAGGGGAACAAAGGTTTTCTTACAGCAGAAAAAAACATGGAGGATTAACAAAAATGAAATGAACTAGTCAGAACTCGAGAAGTTATTACATGCTAATTCTTTGCACTGAAAGAACATGTAATAATTGTGACTCAGGATAAAAACATGTTAGCAAAACAAATGCAATAAAGGGCAGGAATGTCAGCTTATTAAGTTTGTTTTTCAGTCTGAGAAATTAAATTTAAAAAATACCGTTCTTCTGTGTCAATCGTCTCTGTAGCTGATGAAGAAACCTTTAAAAACCAGACTGCAGCGAGAACTGCCAGTTCTGGTGTCATTTAAAGTTCCACAGCAGACCATTGCTCAGTGCGCATTCCTCCAATCATTAATATCAGGCCTTTCTGGTACAGATGCATCCAGAGACAAATCTGGATCATTTCAACCTCGACTCCGGTTCATTCTGTTGCACAAACTGAACTCTGTTAAAATTCACCCTTTAATGAACAATAAGCCCCACTGTGTGTTTAAGTCATCACTGACAGTCTTAATTACTCCCCTCACTGAGGCACCTTCCTCCTCTCAGATTCTTCTCTTTAACCCAGAGGTCTTATTTGTGCCAACAGATTTAATTTCTGTCCCTAAGAAGATTCCTGAAGACACAGTGATGATTGACCTGCAGAACAACGACATCACTGAAATCAAGGAGGACGACTTTAAAGGCCTCAACAGGCTTTATGTAAGACGGACCTTCAGTGTTATTTTTATCACCACAGGACAGGCTTTTTGTCCTGGTGTACACTACCGTTCAAAGGTTTCGGGTCAGATTGAAAAAATGTCCTCATTTTTGAAGGAAAAGCACTGTACTTTCCAATGAAGATAACTTTAAACTAGTCTTAACTTTGAAGAAATACACGCTTTACATTGCTAATGTGCTAAATGACTATTCTAGCTGCAAATGTCTGGTTTTTGATGCAATATCTACATAGGTGAATAGAGCCCCATTTCCAGAAACTATCACTCCAGTTGTCTAATGGTACAATGTGTTTGCTCATTGGCTCAGAAGGCTAATTGATGATTGGAAAACCCTTGTGCAATCATGTTCACACATTTGAAAACAGTTTAGCTCGTTACAGAAGCTACAAAACTGACCTTCCTTTGAGCAGATTGAGTTTCTGGAACATCACATTTGTGGGGTCAATTAAATGCTCAAAATGGCCAGAAAAAGAGAACTTTCATCTGAAACTCGACAGTCTATTCTTGTTCTTAGAAATGAAGGCTATTCCATGCGAGAAGTTGCTAAGAAATTGAAGATTTCCTACAACGGTGTGTACTACTCCCTTCAGAGGACAGCACAAACAAGCTACTGTGGGTACTATTTAATGAAGATGCCAGTTGGGGACCTGTGAGGTGTCAGTTTCTCAAACTAGAGACTCTAATGCACTTATCTTCTTGCTCAGTTGTGCAACGCGGCCTCCCACTTTTTCTACTCTGGTTAGAGCCTGTTTGTAACGACTTCTGTAACGACCTAAACTATTTTCAGATGTGTGAACATGATTGCACAAGGGTTTTCTAATCATCAATTAGCCTTCTGAGCCAATGAGCAAACACATGATAACATTAGAACATTGGAGTGATAGTTGCTGGAAATGGGGCTCTGTACACCTATGTAGATATTGCACCAAAAACCAGACATTTGCAGCTAGAATAGTAATTTACCAAATTAGCAATGTATAAAGTGTATTTCTTTAAAGTTAAGACTAGTTTAAAGTTATCTTCATTAAAAAGTACAGTGCTTTTCCTTCAACAAAAAGGACATTTCAATGTGACCCCAAACTTTTGAATGGTAGTCCATAGTTGTTTATATTTATGTCTAATACAACTAAAGATGCATATGTTTTGGAAAAATATAAAATCTTTAACAACCGAGTACGATTTTCTTCCACCGACAGGGTCTATTTCTGATCAACAACAAGATCTCCAAGATTCATCCTAAAGCCTTTAGAAACATGGATCATCTCAGGCTGCTTTATCTGTCTTACAACCGGCTGACTGAGATTCCAGCCAATCTGCCTCCCAACGTCATCGAGCTGCGTTTCCATGAGAACAACATCAACAGGATCCAGAAGGAGGCATTTAAAGGCCTGAGGAAGCTGCATGTTTTGGGTAAGAGCTGCATCCCAACACCTCTGCGATCTGCTTTTGATTCAATCCAAACATGGCCGCGGCTCTTCTAAGATGGATTACAACAGGAAAAACTAAGACTTATTCTGCCTCAGAGTGTTGTAGGGATCTACAGTACCATCCAGAGGCAGAGAACAGGGAAGCACCATAAGCTGTTAAATCTGAAGGAACATGACCAGATCAGAGCTTCAATCAGGAACTATTTACTGATTTAAAAGCAGGATTTAAAGTCTAAAGAAATGATTCAACTTATTTGAATGAGGACTTAGAACCTCCAGACAGTTTTGTTTTTGACAGCCTTCTTAGATTTAGTCTTAGTATTAATCTTCAGGACGAAAACTATTATTAGTTTTAGTCACAATTTAATCATTACTATATGTGACAGTTTTAGTTGGTTTTAGTCGATTAAAACTCAAAAAGGTTTTGGTCTAGATTTAAGTTTGACTTCATAAAAAAGTTAACCTTTACAATTTCGAATAACAACCAGATTCTTTACCCGACTGACAGCTCTAGCCTAGATACTACAGTTGCTGGAGACACAATGCTGTCTTGCAGTTCATCATTGCTGTTAGGCAGAAAACAGATTTCTAGAACTCAAACTTTTTGATGAATAATGGTATACTTTATAAAAAAAGTGTCTCACAAAAGTTGTGAAAACAGCAGATCTAGTTCAACACATCATATTGGTTGATATAGCAGATAGATAAGCTAACAAAAAAAATGTACAATAAAGGAATGGTTTTAGACATACAAGGTTACATCCAAAAGCAAACACTTCCTGATCTACTATGAATTACGCATTATACACTGATCCATAAAATCTTCATTAACCCTAAAAGCATCTGGCTCTTTATCCAAAAATAAAAAGAATGAAATGAAATATTTTCTTTGGATATAATTTAGGAATTTTGGTAGAAATTAAAGGTTTAGTATCACCTCTTTTGAGCTTAAAGAAAAAATTATTTTTTACACTTAGCAGAGGATGATCAGCCACATATAGTTTATTAAGTAGTGAGGGCTAGGAAGAGCCACACTGCTGAGAGCGAACCATCAGTGTGGAGCAAGGAGTGCAGCCTCCCTGTGCATTTCTGCACAAGCACAGCTGGAACAGGAGAGTATTTTTAGAGTTGAGCACGAAGTACCGAACCATTTTGGATTACTTTTTCCTCCGCCGCTGCAGTCATGATCCATCCGTGGTCATGCAGAATGTACACCACTGATACTGCTTAGCTTGTCTAACAGATTAAAGCACAATGATGCATTTTAAGCTCCTGACAGAGCACCTGCTAACATTTTTATCCAGTCTCGTTGACGAAAACTCCCACCCATGAGTCGTCATGTTTTCATCATCAAAGATTCAGCTTTATCTCTTCAGTTCTCGTTACCGTCATGAAAAAAAGGAGCATCAACGAGATGATTTTGTCATCGTTGATGAAAACAACACTGCCTGCAGTCAATAAACAAACATTATAAGCCCAGCAAATAAAAGTAAGGCAACAGCAGAAATATCTGCTGGATGGAACCAAACAACAGGACGATATCAGCAGCAGCAAGTAACTGGTGACTTAATCCGAGACACAATGTGTTTAAAAGTTCGGTGCATATTTCAGACAGATGCCGCGGTGAAAGGTTCAGTTGTTAGGAGGATCTGCTGCATCCTGCTGATGCTTCTTCCAAAATTCAGGGCTTCTCCTAAAGGAAAACAGAAAGCTCAACAGATCCTAGTAACAGTCAGATAAATCTGTCAGGTACTGACTTCAGCCAATGTTTCTCGGTTTAATTTGAATGAACGAGCCTCTGCTAATAATGACATCATTTTAAGGTTAAAATAACCAAACTCCAACTGAAGCTTTGTCTTTTTTATTATGTTTATTATGTTTTTCTTCTCTTCAAATGTTAACCTTCCATCAGCGGATCGATTGGACCTTCGATAATTTCCTCAAATGATGACCGATTCCTTACGTTTGATTTATTATATTTATGGCTCTTTTCAACAAATTTGTGCGGATATCTCTTAGCAACTAATGAGATTTCCATCTCCATAAATCTCTTGTAATCAACCTTCCATGTTTTGCATCATAATGATAAATGAGCCGTAACGAAACCAGATGTTCGGTGCTTCTCCCAACAGAGCTGGGAGCCAACCCCCTGGCCAACAGTGGGATCCAGCCGGGAGCCTTCGACGGTCTGTCCACTCTCTACATCGGGATAGCAGAGGCCAAACTAACAAGTGTCCCTAAAGGTCAGATAGGATGTACTGAAGCTAGAATGACCCTCATCACTTTCTGCAAATGCTTCTTAATTATTACATCATCTGAAACTTCAAGCTGAAAGGTTGGTGATCATGTTCCGTGTTCTTCCTCTAGACTTCCCATCTTCAATCACAGAGCTGAGTCTGGACTACAACAAGATCTCCAAGGTGGAGGTGGAGGACTTCAAGAGATATAAAAACCTGCAGAGGTGGCCATCATCCACGTTTTATTTAACAATAGACTCTTTAATGTTAACAGAAGATAGAAAATGGTCCAGGTTAAAAATTATTTGACAAGTCATGGTTCAAACATCACAATTTATCTCAACTATAAGAATAAAGGCTTGTTTTAGCTCTTAGTATCACCTGCAGGCATTAACACTAGTCCAACTGTCCCTGCAGGTTAGGACTGGCCTTCAACCAGATCCGGTCTGTGGAAAACGGCAGCCTGGTCAGCATCCCAAATGTCCGGGAGATCCATCTGGACCATAACCGTTTAAAAAAGGTCCCACCGGGCCTGGGCTCACTGCGCTACCTACAGGTGAGAGGCAGCAATAATACTGGCGATCTTAACTCTAAGCCAGGCATCCCCAAAATCGGTCCTCGGGGCCCCCTGTCCTGCAGGTTTTAGAGGTTTCCTTGCTTCAGCACAGCTGATTTTAATTGAAAGCTGATTAACAGGCTTTTGGTCTACTGCAATCATTATAACCAGCTGTGCTGAAGCAGAAAAACCTCTAAAACCTGCAGGACAGGAGGCCTTGAGGACCGAATTTGGGGATGCCTGCTCTAAGCAGTTTCTGTAACAAAAACGTTGACCAGATCCAGAACCTTAAAAAAATAAATAAATAAATAAAAATTATTCTCCTTCTTAGGTAACCAATTTTTATATTAAAAGGACGAAAATATCACTTTAAATCATTATATATTATATCTTTATATCATAGAAAATTTAGTTGGTTTCTTTTTATCTATGAAATGACTCAGACTATGCCTGATAGTTTTGATTAAATAAAGACATATCTTTGGTTTTAACAATGTGGTTCTAATTTAAACTTTTCTTAAACTTCTGTGACTTGCAAATGGTTTTATGAAAATCAAGTGGCGCCCCCTGGTGGAACTTTCCTCGACTTAGAAAACCCCTCCTGCTGTATTGTCTGAAACACCGGGGTTTCTGCATAGAACCATATTCCATCTGATGGAGCAATTTATTCTTTATTTCTTTATCCATTTGAATTGTGTTAATTATATGTTTTTTTTTAGGGTTTATTTGCAGGTTAATAATTATTGATTCTATTTACCTTTGTTTTATTATTTTTCATTTATTTCTTTCTTTATTAAATTGAATTGTGTTCATTTATTGCTATATCTATATATGTTTTTTTTTATTATTATTTACATAGTTTATTTGCAGGTTAATAATTGTTGATTCTATTTACCTTTGTTTTATTATTTTCCATTTATTTATTTATTTATTTATTTATTTTCTGCGTTAAGACAGGAAGCAATGTGGATCAGTCCACTTCCTGTAAGTGTAGGGGCCTGGGAAGGGACCAGCAGGCATTTTGGGTTTGGGGCCTATAAAGGTAGCAGAAAGGAAAGTTTGAACTCTGTAATTATTGGCTGAAATAGGAAAATAAGTAATCCAGAACAATCAACAATTTTGAAAATTGAACCTTCTTTTGCGTGCGTACAGAAACCTGAGCCCAGTGCCTCAGTTGAGGCTTAATGGGACTTGAATTGGATGTTTGGCTTGGCAAACAATCCCCACTTCACCATCCATCATCAGACATAAACACTCAAATATTTCAGCCAGTGAAAAGGTGAACATCAGAACCGAAATATACATAAAACTAAGGACTTTAAAGCTTTCAAATTCCACAAGACACAGAACTATGATATGAAGCCCAGATAAAAGGTTTAACCTTAAAATAGACTGAATAAAAGCCAATTAAGGAAAAAGAACGGTAATTAAACTCTGTCTCATCATCTGCACAGGTGATTTTCCTTCATGCCAACAAAATCGGCAATGTGGGATTCAACGACTTCTGTCCAAAATCTTCCTACGAGAAGAAGAACCTGTACAACGCCATCAGCCTGTACGCTAACCCGGTGAAATACTGGAGCATACAGCCGGCCGCCTTCCGCTGCGTGGCCAGCCGACGGGGCATCCAGTTCGGGAACTTCAGGAGGAAGTAGAGCAACAAGGCGGCGGCTCAGAAACAGACCCGGCGTCCTATAAAAGGGAAGGTGATGAAATCAGCGCCTGGAGGCAGAAAACCATCAAATTAGACCAATTTCTCATTATTCTGCAGTATGTTAGAAACGGAGGGAGATGCTGCCGACGCCCGTTTATTCTGTTATGAATGTTGACTCTTCAGTCATGAATAACAGAAGAAGGTTCTTACTGTAACAATGGGAAATAATAAATATAATAAAAATCAATGCTTGGGGGGGGGGTTCTAACCATATTTCTCTTTTTATTATAAAACCACTTTTTTCTTTGCTTTAAATAAAGATGCTTTTTGTTGTTTTCATTCTAGCTTGGCTGAGATGGAGCCGATAGTCCAACTTGTTTTTGTTGCTTTTGTAAAACATTAGACATTATAATTTCCAGAAAAGACTAAAACTGTTACAAAGTAATTGTTTAGAATGCTTACCTCTCCTGAAAAACTCTGGAGTTAAAAGTGGGTAAAGTTTTACAGCAGTTTGTGGCTTAGGAGGCGTCTGAGCGGATGTATGTAATCTCTCTGCATGCTTGTGTTGTCTGTATTTAGAGGCTGAGGTCAGGTTGGGTCAGAAGCTGGGGTCCTCTGCAGGGCTGAGGACAAACTGATCCTACAGAACTCAAAGTTTGGATCATCCAGGTCGTTTCAGCGCCGCCAACGTCGGAGCATCTTCTCTCTAAACATGTCTCCTCTGAAATGGTGCTATATTTATTGAGGATGTCTTTAATAAACCTCAAACACCTCAAACATTCATGTCGTTGACCTATTTTTGCTCATTGAAGGCTAATTTAGAAGAGCAGGACTTTTTAATTTAACATGACCATTAAGAGTGGAGGTCTTCAACAGGGGGGTCCGCGACCCCTAGGGGTTCTACAGAGGTACTGCAAAGGCGTCACGAAAGTTTTAGTCGATTAGACTTTTTTTATATCCCCCCCCCTGCAGTTTTTTCCACTAATTGAAATGTCTTTAAATCCACATTAACATGAATTCAACAGACTGTAGTAAACAGATAAATGGAGGCAGAAGATGTCTTTCAGTCATCAATGCACACATTCAGTGACACATAGGAGCTCTTTCAAGCTGGACACCGTTTCATTCACAACACCTGTCCCATCAACCAGGCATCAGAAATACTTTAATAATCCCAGGGAGAAATTACTTTCATTACATAACTCTATCTTTAATAGAGTGACTATAGGACCAGTTTGATAGAACGCTATTTCATACAATATATATAATTAGGGGGTCCCTGCTCTATCTCACCATCAGTTTGGGGTCCTTGGCCTGGAAAATGTTGAAGACCCCTGATTTAAGGGATAAAGCTATAGACAATACGTTAAAAGTCAACTGCAGGATATTTTTAAAATACAGCAAAAGTCATATAAATAGTTTTATATGACCGCCTGCTTAGAAAGAAGCCAAAAGATGCTATTTTTGGCTTCCTCTTTGCAGGGCATGGCGGTGATGCAGGGGTTGAGCGCGCGACCCATACACAGAGGCTTTGGGCCGTTTAACTAAACAGGTTTAAGAAACTCAGACTCAAATCCTCAACTCTGAATAGATCTAACCTAAGGTTGGAAACTTTGAGTTAGTTTAATCAATCAATTGATATGTTTACTTCAGAGTTGAGCGCATAATAACTCGTGACGATGGGCAACAGGAAGTGCCTATTTCACTCCACTGGAAGAAGAGATTTTAATGCAGAAATTTAAAAAAATGGAGGATATTTTTTTAAAAGACAGAGCGACAGCTGCAAAGCAGAGGGAGATGGTAGGAGATTTCTTCTTGATTAATGCGAAAATGTTGTATGGAGTCTCTACGGCAGGTTGTTTTAACATTTATTAAAAGCCCTCTCTGTTCTTTCATTTGTAGATCACTAAAATAGATTTATTCTTGGTGAAAATTACATTCCTATAACGCGTTCACGCCGGTTAATCACAGCCACTCTACTCATTTAGAGCAGCTCCACCAGGTGGGCCGTTTAACTTCATCACAATATGGAGTATAGTGGATCATTCAGGCAGTAAGGCTATGGCAGGCCATTGTGACATTTATTAGCTTGAATGAATATGCAATCCAGATGTCTCAAATTTATTTATCTATAGTCATAATTAAAATTTCAGATAGCTAAAATAACATTCATCCTATCTAAAATAAACAGTTTGGATGTCTAAAAATAACTTTTGATGCCAATGAACTAATATAGCTATTGCTAGTCATAATGACAGTTTGAGACATCAAAAATGAATATACCGGTAACATTACAGATATCCAGTATTCCTTTTTTTTTACATTTTTGGAATTACAGATATCCAGAAATCCAATTCATGGCATCAAAAATACATTTTTGCTAGTAGAAATGTCATTACAGATATCAACTTCTAATTTCAAGACTATTCGAATTAGAATATTAATAATGCCTATCCAAAAGGCAGTTTTAGATACTTTCAAACCATAATGAGGCTCCGTTTTAGCATAAAATAGGCAGGCTGACTAGTCACATTTATATTATAGATAGCACTAAAGCATTCTACCTAGTCACAATTACAATATTCCTAGGCAGAACTGTATTATAGATATAGATAGATATCTATTTAATCAACCATTAAATAGAGTAAATAATCCCAGACCGAAGCCACGATCACTGGCGCCCTCTAGTAGGCAACATTACTACACTGAAAATCATTCCTCTTAAGCTGACTTCATCATTGAATTGAACTGGAACACATTTTAACCTGATAAACCGTTGATTAGTTGTTTATGTGCCTAATCAATACAAGGGAAATATTTGCTACTTACTTGGATACTCAGCTTTTTAAACTTCAACATGCAACATTATTTCCTATTAGAATAACAGAAGAACAGTTAAATAAGTGTGTAAATGAATGATATAAATATAATAACCCTAATATAAAACTATCTGACAAAATTTGTCATGACCAAAAAAATTGTCTAAATAATCCAAATCTAAAATTTGCAATAGCAAAAATGTGCAAATGACACATACCATGCCAAATTAGTATAGTATCCAGGTAGAGCTTGAGAGCATTTTTGACCATCCTACTTTAAACGAAAGTATTATCTAACAGGGACAGGAGTTTAAACAGATCTTACGTTGCAGTACATGGTCACTAGGGGGCGGCAGAGGAAAGCTGTAGAAAAGAGCTGAGAAGCACTGCTTTGGTTCTTTCCTTGTTAGGTTGGGGACAAACAGCTGTTTACATGATTGTTAGAGAGTTTCAGTGTTTAGTTATTCTGAAAGTTTGACTCATTCAGCTGTGCATTTATATCTAGTGAAACTAGGAGAAAATCAACACATTTTCTGACCAGTTAGAGCTGCTCAGGAAATGTATAGAGGATTTAATCTGTGACAAAGGTCACTGATAACATCCATCCGTTTTATTCCTTCTGTTAACACAAACTATGCAGAGTGAAACAGTCTTAGGAATGTTGAATGTGATGACACCAGGATGAAATCATGATGAACTGGGAGTGCAAACAGTGGCCGGCTCCCAGAGAGCCAGCACCTGCCTGGAATGAGCTGCAGTTACAGTATCCCAGCGTTGGGCTGCAGAAGCGATGCTGCTTCACTGTGTTTTTGTCTGTTTAAATGCAGACTCCTTGTGCTGGGGCAGGGGGGCGGAGGGGAGCAGCCCCACTCTTTCTGTCTCCAGGAAACATATGGAAAAGATCTGCCGGCTGGCCAGGCTTCGTTCTGCCACGTCTCACAGCCACACTCTCACTCTCACACACATCGACCAGTCTTAGCCTCAGGCTTTCTACTCCTCCTCACACTCAGCTCACTTCTCTTCATGTCTTCTCTTACGTTTAACATCACTTCCATCTTTCTCTGTCCTCCATCATGGCAGGTCTACCAGCTGCAGACCTCCTGAATGCCCTGGCTCCAACACTCTAACATCATTTTCTAAAGAGCAACACTGTTTTTGTTTAGATGCACCATTTTCAGTTTGTTACAATCTGACACTTTGCCAGTAGGGGTCACTAACCCCTTTATATTTCACTTTTAATGATAAATTTTAATCAGTGGCATTTTAAAACAGAACAGAATAAAATTTACCTTTATAGTGCATTAAATTCAGATGTTATGCAGATTCACAAATAGATGAATATAAACAAAATAGAACAAGAATAGGGGATTGTCGTATAACGACAAATTTATAATAACAATATATAAATAATAATATAAATAATAATGCATGGTTAAAAGGATGTTAAGAAATAAACCATAAAGATAAATTAAATTAAATAAATTAAATAAAATCTAAAAAAATGCTCATATGTTGCGGAAAAGGCCTTATTGGATCCCGATCGATAAATCGTTCGGGTAAATATATCGGCCCAAATTTACTGTCGGTCTCATTAATCAATGTTGGCCAAATTGTGGCCGGTATTAAATTGTCTATTTTTGCAACAAACAGCTAAAAAAACATCCGCTGTTTGCCATTTCTGCTCCACTGCCCCTCCCTTCCTTAGCGCTGCACCATGCCTCCCCTCCATCGACGGTGTTGCCAGATTGGGCGGTTTTGAGTTTGAAGGTAAACATAGCTTTGGGCGTATGGAGTTAATTTGGGCTTTTTCAGAGTTGGATCAGCGATTTTTGAGTTAACCTATTAAAACACATGTCCACCAATAATTCATCATTACTGGTTCATAGCAAAGCCTCCCTGACCTTTCTCCATCACAGATTAGCTAATTAGCATGTTTTCTAATGCTGCGTTCAAATATTGTGAGTTCATGTTTCATATAGGACACAAATGAATCTGACACACATTTTCATTCAGAGCTTCCTGCAGGATGAGAAAGGCTGCTGCTCACATTCCAGCACCTTTCTGCCCCCCAACAGAACAGCAGAGTCTTTTATTAACAGAACATGAGCAAAATTGGTCGGTTTTAGGATAGAAGACCCTGTAAATGCCTTCTGGCTGAAGGTAAGTCT